GTTTTGTTGCACCAGACAACTAAAGTCATTGATTTGATAAAACACCTTCAGCAAGATATTCATAGCCAGGACGAACTTTGAGATCCAGTTTTCGAATTGTAAAAGTTTTTTGAATCCCACGAACCGTGAATGCTTTGCTTCTGCTCTTAAATTCTCTTAACCAATCAGATGTCAAACTTTAAGCAATAGCAACTTAATCACTGCCACACTCCTGCGCTGGAGGCAATTTGCTTGTAACTGTATATGCTCCTTGTATCATTTTCCTTGTTCAGATTGGACGCTGGTTTACTTCAGTTTTGTCCATTAATATTTGAAGAAATGTTCTGTACTTTAATAATTGCCTACCCGAAAAGAACAGCTTTCATGATGCCAAACTCATGTATATATCAAAAAGTTTCCAAAAAAAAAAAAAAAACGGCACACCATAGATTTATCGTTAGATTTCCCCCAGTCTTTGAAATAGAGGAATGCGTTTACGGTCGACTCAAAAGTAAATCCTTACCCTCCGGTCCCTGATTGTTAATTGATTGCCTGGGGCTGTCCCTTTGGGTTGACTGGCGCCCAAGGATTGAGCAATTTTCCCAGGTACCTTCTCGGGTACACTAGTAAACAAATCCTCCATGTTTATATTTCGCTGACCACCATTCGAGAGCGTATTTCTCGAGTAGAAAGCTTTTTATTTCCAAGGCTTGGGTTCTTGAGTCAAAATCGAACATCCGACGAGTTTTCCAGAGTTGTAAAAGCGAGCAGATCTTGTTTGTCTTAACGAAGAGCTCTTTGCATATGGATGTGGCCATTGGTCCAATGTGACCCGCACTGAAGCGAGGGAATTCTTGTCAGTATAAAGACGCGATTTCTTCAGACGTTACTATTTACATTATTTGGAGCGAATTTAAAGCTAAGCTAGGAAATGGACGTGGTAATTTCTAACGCTGTCATGGAAGGAGTATTGGCATGAATCGGTCCCTTTCTGTGGTTGTAAATCCCTGGCGAAAATGGATGACCGGGCAGATTCAGATCACGATGGTGTTCTCTCAGATGACCAACCTCCACATGCGACAGTATGCAAAAAGGTTAGGTGGTAGAATTTTTTTTTTGCTGTAGGAGTGAAGCCAGGGATGCGGATATTTAACCAAAGGCTAGAAGCAATTTACTCGCTTTATAACTGGGCAAGGGAAATGCTGTTATTATCCGTGGCTTTGTTCAAAGGTGACTAGAATGTCTTGCTGGTTTTCGGTTCACTACGGCGCATCGCTCAAATGTCAGCACGGCTCTACTTGCGCTAAGAGCCCGATGCTTGATAAATTGCATTTCTGTGCGTTCATCTGCTGTATGCCCCGAAATCACTGGTGTTTTAAGCTATTCTGAGCCATCTTGTCTTGTTAAATAAAAACCAAATGCTTTCTTGGCCTCTTTGAATCTCGACTTGCTACTTTTTATGAATATTTCGGTTTCTAAGACGGAGCGTTTGTGATTAAATCTTCCATCTCATAGAAGTCAAAACCACAATTCTTGATATATTTTCCAGTTTAGTAACCACCCAAATGATTTTTTTTGCTGTGCTATCTTGTTTTTATATCGTAATTTTTAAAATATTCGATAATTTTCCTTGCATCGTGTCGTGCCTGAGTGACTGTATTGAGCAATATACATGAATGTTTTAAAAATTGACATTGCATATTTCACTAATACTTTTACACTATTTTTCTCGCTCGACAATATTTTCAACATTTATTTTTGATCATTTACTTTATGACGAGATTTTTCATAAAATTATAGTAAAGATTGCAAAGAAGTTTTATTCCAAAGAGCGATTCGAGAACTCTTCAGAAATTGTACTTGCCTAATATATTCAAGCGGGGTTTGGTATGTCAAGAAAGAGGTCGAGCCTTTGTCTCCTTCGTCTTCAGCTAGTTAGTTTCTCTTGTGGATCATCAATAGGAATCACGTATGTACAACGGGATTCATTTCAAATCAAAAAAATTCAATTTCGTTTTGGAGACACGCGGCTGAAACAAGTCATATTTTGGAGAAATCGTCGCTGAGATTCTCCCGAACGCTCTCGATATTCGACATTCCATCAAACTAACTAAAGTACAGTACTACAGCGCAGCGTTACAATACCATACAGTATGTCTTGATTTCTTTAGACGAAGCCTGATTGTAGGAAATCGCAGTGTTTCCGCATCATACCGCAACCACAGTTGTGCTGGAGATAGATTGAAAATTAAGGGAAAAAAAAAAAACACCTCAAGGAAGAGATTAGCAGAAGGCATTGTTATACATTACCGATTTAACGATCATATTGTCCTTTTGTTGTGATTCTTTATTAGTCAATTTCTTTGCTGGGTTATCTGTTGTAAACAATTTACATCAGTGTTTCTTTAAATCTCAGTTTGCACTCAAGACAGACTTCAGACAAGTCTTTTTAAAAAACCTCAATACCTGTTAAAATCTTTTCTGAAGATGACCTCGCCAAGTGTGACCAACTTGTTAACCGTGGCTACAGATTAAAAGGCCACTATTCTGCTGAAGAGCAGGACTTTCTTAAAAAAGTGTCTGTCAGTTTAGTGACCCTTGGAGAACTTACCTCTTCATATTTCATTTCTGAATAATACTGTTTTGTCTCTACTGGCCACAAGTATTTACCCTATTTTTCAAACAAATTTCCTATCATGGGAGGACAGCTGCAATTGTGTAAGGGCATTGGGTTGTACAGACTAACATTTTGTAGCATTTTGTAATGAAATGTTAAGGGGGGGGAGTGAACCACACCATCCTGGCTAACTCCCCCCTTCCCTGCCTCCAACCACAAAAGGTACAGTGCATGGGAAAACAATCAAAATGCAGTATAAATAGAAGGAAAAACTGAAAATATGATCAGATCTTGTACCTTTTAACTAAACAGAATATATTAAACAGACAGTTAACGAGATGAATGAAGCAATTTGTCATGTTCCATCACCCTTTACAAGACTCCTCCCACGAGTACAGGACCTTTGGACCAATTTCATAACTCTTTTTGTGGTTTTAGAAACCACAAAACTCTATACACCCTAACATCGACATGTTTATTCTCCATACTTTGGATATAACAACAAAGTTGAAGTGGTAAATTGGCCACCGTAACGATTACAAATATACATTTCCTTGGGTGCAGACAAGGAGAATTTGTTTAACAATCAAGAGCTTGTGAAGGTGTAGTGTGATCGTCCGGGTGAGTGTAGTCCTGAGAAGGACTGTTGTCGGTGGTAGTGACTGACGTTTCGACAACCTGTGCGGAAGTCATCATCAGAGTCAAGTGAATGATTGTTGTCAGTAGAATGTTCTTATTCCAGTTCGTGTGAAATGATCGGTTGGTTTTGCCCTGATGTTATTGGCTGTAAGACTCAAGAGCTTGTTTAGTTGGTGATCATTTCCTTTATTCTCCTGACCTTAATGTGTGATTCAGCGGTGATATTGTAAGGAGAAATTAAATGTTAGTCACTCTCAGAAGTTAATGGATTAATGTGTTTTTTTTTTCCAGTAATGACATGGTTTCCTGATAAAGTAGCAAAGAGAGTATATAGCTATAGCTGAACTCAAATTGAAGTTTATGGCTTCATTCACTCTGCTTCAAGAAAAGATGCTTTTTTGAACTTTCTCAATTTGTACTCCTTTTGCCTCATGATATCATAATTATGTATTCTCTGAAAATAATGGTTAAACTGGACTAAAGGAATGATGCCTCTAGAAGTACAGAAGTCTCTTGAGGATGACCTTGACTACATAAATCTCTAGAATGAAAATCAAATATTTTGAGTGAGTGAGAACTTTATTTTAGCACGATAAGTAAAATCAGCATTGCTGGTGGGGTCATGCAAACAATAGTTACGAAAAAATAAAATATTTAAACATATGTACAATTTAGAATTAAGACTTAAAAGCTAAGACCTATCAGAAAGATTTGTAGTCGGTATCTCTGTTTTTAGTTATGGCTGAAATCGGTTCAAAATTTATTTTATCTGTGTCAAATTTCCGAAGACAGTGTTTAAAATCTTTCAAGGTTTTAGCCATTGTTTCCTTGTTCGTTAAACTATTCCATGCAATTTCTCCTCTATAACTTATGGAGTTCCTGATAAAGTTTGTTACAGGTCTGGGAAGAATAATGTCATCCTTTCTTCTGCGGCCTGATTTCCTTTGTGTAAAAGCTTTTTCGAATTCCGTAATGGAGAAGCCCTTCATACATTTGAAGACAAACTCTGTTAGTCGCACTTTGTACATTGTTTCCAGACTGTCCCATCCAGTTCGCGTTAATACATCTTCAGCACTTGTATCCCATGGCAATCCATAAACAATTCTCCCAGCCCTTGCATGGAGTTTCTCCAGGTTGTTTAAATGCATTTTGCTGCACGATCCCCACACTATCAAACCGTATGTGACTGATGGCAGTATCACCTTTGTGTAGAAGTCTTCTACCTGCTTTCGAGGGAGAAACCGCATGCGCCGGAGTAAACTTAGCTTGGACGCGAAGGACTTTGCTACATTTGCAGCATGATCTGACCAAGATAACTTGTTATCGACTTGTACTCCGAGGAGTCTTTCCGAGATTGTCCACTCTATATTGTTGTTGCCAAGATGAAGTGCTTGGATGGGACCAATGAATGATGATTGCCGCTGCACAATCATCGCTTTACATTTTTCTGGATGTGGTATCATCAGATACCTATCACACCATTTCTGGAGTTCAGCTAGGACATCGTTTAGCATGTTTGTTGGTAAATCCATCGTTCTTGCAATACAGTGTATTGTTGTGTCATCATACAGATGAGTTTCCGCAGATTTTAATGAGTTTGGGAGATTGTGTATATCGGAGTTACATCCGTTGATTCTGACGAATTGTCTTCGATCTGTGAGGTAGTTTTTTATCCACAGCTATATATCTCTGATTCCAAGGTCATTTAGCTTTCATAGTAACATGTTGTGCGACACAGTGTCGAAAGCTTTAGTGAAATCAATAAAGAGTACTCCCACATAAAGCCTTCTTTCTGCTGCTTCTCTCCACATTTCTGTCAGGTGTATTAAAAGCTGTTCTGTTGACTTTCCTTTCCTATAAGCCCATTGTCTGCTGTCAAGTAAGTTTTGCGTGACCACGTGGTTGGTGATAGTGCTTGCGACGCATGATTCCATTAATTTGCTTGGTATACTAAGCATAGATAGCGGTCGGTAGCATGTTCTGTCTTTCTCACGTCCTTTTTTTGAACACTGCACTGACTCTGGCTATCTTCCACTGATCTGGTGGCTTGCAGGCTTCAGTGCTATGCCCAAACACGCTCGAACTCGCTGTCTTTATGGCTTGATCTGGCGGCTTGAATCCTGTGTTACCATCAGAATCGATAACAACACCAGTACATCCTACATTTAATATGAAGTTGGTGTAGTTTTCAGATACTAGTAACTCCTGGCCTCCTGGTATAGAGGCACAGTACTGACATATCCCTCCATAGCAGTCTCTTGGTGAACAGTACTTCACTAGCTTTTGCTTTATTATTCAAGTTGATAATCAGTCTTAAATACCTTAAATGTTGTTGGTAATTCTGTCTGCATTGAAAATACCCAACTTGTGAAATAAGACAAATTTGAGTACAATTGATTTCCAATATTTGTTATTTGTATAAGATCACTTGTGGAACTAATTCCTTGAGTGTTATTGCAAAATCAAAGAGCACAAATACCAACTCATCACCTTGGCGAAAGAGAGCTGCTTTTTTTTGTTCAGGTAAATAAAAATTGGTCTCTACTAAATATATTTTTGTAGTCATTTCCTATAAGAGTCTCACTCTTGAAAGGTCACATCAGTTTGTAACAAGAAAACGTTGTTAAATATCAACGAGCTCGATAATTCATATTTCTTATGCTTTGACAAATTCTTCCACAACAATTAAGCAAAAACCTGGATCTACTTTTTTTTCTAACATTGGCACAACAGTACACTGCAGATGACCAAAGTGTGTATGCATAGAATACATGCATACTTAGGTAATTTTTATCCTTTCTGCTCTTGTTCCTTAGAGATTTCAAAGCTCTGAGCAATATTCTGGTAGACTCATGGTCACGTGTAAATCAACAAAGATGCTTTCATAGGTGGTTGTTTAGATCAGTATTAGTTATCTTATCCAGGATGTTTAAAATTTGCAAATCAAAACCTCTCGCATGAATATTATGAAACACTTTTGAGGGAAAATGAAACTCATTGAGACACAGGTGTGAAACATTCATCACCTCCTGGCAAAGCACAAAGATAAGGCTGTAGACTAAGAGTTTTGTATGGTAAGCTGGAGGACAGCTGACACTGCTATTGACAACATTTTGTCTAGTTTATCAGATTAAACAAATGGATTCTTTGTTGCTGCAGGACTGTACGGTTCTGTCAAAATGTGGTAAGATACAATGGGCTGTGTCTCGTGTTCCCCTTTTCTGTTCTAACCACGTTTTGGTGTCATTTGTGATCCATCACTGAACAGATGGCAACAGAGAATGAGTATGTCCACATGATTTTATTGTGTTAGCTGTTTTCAGTTGCATAACACAATTTTAGTGCACTGAGGGTTTGCACATTCATGAGTAATAAATTTCTTAAGACTGTAATTTTGGCAATAATTATTTATAATTTGTGAATCTCTGCAAAACTGGAACAAAATATCCTGTGTACCCATCTGTCTCACCAGACACCACCTATAAGAATATAGAAATGAGACATGCAAACGTACCAGAGGAATCATGAAAATTCTAATTCACGATCATAGTTTGATTATTTTTTATTATCACAGTAACAATAAGTAACCAGTGTGGGTTAACTTTGAGTGCTGAATCAACTTAAAACATTCACTTTCTCTGTGAGCATGTAATATCAAGTGAATAATGTGATCCAATTGGCTGCCCACTCACATAAGATGGGTTCTTCTTTGCCTGCTGTAACTTTTTCAACCAAAAAAAAGAGACCATTCTGGCTCACGAAGCCTGGTTCTTTTTTTATTTGCAATTTTCTGGACCCAAACCTTATCTTGGCAATATTCACAGAGTGGCCTTCAAAAGAACAATGCCTGAATCCAGAAGTCGTCTTTCCCACCAGGTCAAGCATTCACACCTGTTAAGGCTAAAATTACATACTTTGACACAATTGTACACAGAGGTTAACCACATTGGAACTTTTGTGAAAGATTTTTTAATTCTTTCAAAAGAGTTTAAGATGAATGTTATCTGCTGAACATAAAGTACGACAATGTGGAGAATCTTTCATATCCCTGAAAATGTGAGAGGCCCTGTCACTGACTAAGTGCTCTCTGACACGTGTGGAAAAATGCCGGCATTCACGTGTGGTTTATAAGTTTATATGCCTGTTATGTTGGTGAAACCTGCTGGCATTTTTCCACACGTGTCAGAGACTACTTAGTCAGTGACAGGGCCTCTCACATTTTCAGGTATCGGAAAGATTCTCCACCCTGTAACAGTTTAAGATGAATTGTACACAGATGATTCTTCACAAAATATTGAATTTCACAAAAGTATAAATTCAGCATGTCCATGAAGGAGGTGTATGCCAGCAGGGAAGCAGTGGAAAAGAGAACGATAAAGGATTTCCTGCCTCTATGGAACCATTCTTTGATGTTTACTCATAAGATAAAGGGCCACTATTTTACAGGGAGGCCACTTTTAACTGAGGTCAGATGCAAGCCGAGATGTTGTGGCTTAAAATGAATATTTGATCATTTAGGTTTCAAACAAGTTTGTTTTGTACTTCCCTGTGTTCTAATACATTACCATTATATTTAAGTGATTCAGACAAACAAAAATAAAACAAGTTTGTGACTATTTTACCTTGAAATCACACAACATGTATCTGCACTGTACAAATCTCCTGAAGTTCCAAACTGAAAGTTTGAAAAATAATTATTAATCTCTTGTTGTAGATGGAGAAGCTCATACATCAGATGCAAGACGAAAAAGGTGGAGTGCCCATCAGAACTGTAAAAAGTTTCATGTCCAAGATTCCAAGTGTTTTTACTGGTGAGAGCATATCAGTTAAAGATTTCACCACCCTTTGATATGACTGAGTGTCAAATTTACGTTGAGTGATTTCGCGTTGTTTTGCTGAGGATGGGTAAAAAGTATACAGCATTCCAAAATTGGGAACACTTGCCAAAATTTTGTTCAAAAAAATAATTGTAAACTGTTTAATGCAGTCTGGCTAGAATCCTTCACAAAGAGTTGTAAATCAACTCCGGATACTCTCCAAGGAGGAGAGACAATTAAAACTCTAACAATTATAAATTGCTCTTTTAATCATAAAGCATATTAATTAAGAGTGACCAAAATGGAATTTCTCTATATAGTGGTTGCACATTTTAAAGCCAAGGGGAGATAGATCAGAAGGATTTAACTGAGTATCTACTACAGGATTATGCTTGTAGCACTGAATTCTCAGAGTTAAAACAGTGAGGGCAATTGGTGGAAAAGAGTTAAAGTTTGTTTGGATACATCAACAAAGTTGAAATGGTAAATTGGCCACCGTAACGATTACAGAAGCGGATGTTTCTAGCGTTAGCCCTTTGTCAGAGCAAGTGTTAAAGTTTGTGTCAGCTTGACCGTCTTTTGTTAGTGATAAATGGGACTGTGAAATGATGCCACTCATAACAAATTCATTTTCATCGGTAAAATAGTAATATAAAATTTTCTGAAAGAACCAGTATACAGCTGTTTTGTGAAAGGTTGGGGCCAAAAAAAGAAAGCATAAAAGAGCACACAACAAACCTGAAAGGTATCTTGAGGTGTATTTCAGGTCACTTTTTTTTGACCTCAGGATTTAAGGGAAATCTGAGAAACTTTACTTTGAGGATGAGGGCATCACAAGTTTGATGAATTTGCTTAATATTTATTATGGGATACCTAGATTACCTTTTGAACGCACTTTTGTCCTGTTTTCCCACAACCTTTCTTGAAACAGTTACAGTACTGTATATATCATTGAGATTTTTTCCAATTCTAATGATTAGTTGTTTGTTTTCAGGAAGTGACCTTGTTGACTGGATCATGAGCAATATTTCTATTGAGGAGAGAGGTGAGATATAGCGCCGTAAGACATCATGTACTCCTTGCACTCCAAACATATGTATATCAAAATTATCCATGCAGTCTGCCACACAGTTCTTATTGTTTTATCTCCAATCATTTGCTGCTAAATCAAACGATATCTCTTCATTGATCTTTTTTCTCCAAACACTTTTCCCCTTGCCGGGTTCTTGTTAAGAGCCCATAACCAGTTATTTTTACAGGCTGTTCAAGAAAATGTTACCCGCCTATTTCACTGAAACCCAGGACTGAAATATTTATCAGAGTTATCCAACGATTTTTGTAATTTTTTGGAAAAATATTACTTGTCTCCTTCCAACCAATGTGAAGATATCTATCTCAAGTGTTTGAAAATACATCATGTGTTGAAGAAATCCTGCTTGTTTTGACCAATTTCATTCTTCACAGTCACCTTGGAAATGACCTCTGCCATGTTTCCTTTCCATTTGTCTTGTGGCCAAATGAAAAGGCTGAGCATTCATTGAGAAATGCCACAGTTGACAACATGATGTCCACACATGGAAGTTACCTCTTTTTTTTTTTTTACCTCCTTTGAAAAAACTTTGTGAGAACTCTTCCTTGAAACTGTTTTCTTTGGTATCTAATGGATTCATTGATAACTTGCTGTTACATAAACTTGCATTTTGCTATGTAAGTATTTAGTAAAGGAAACCCCTTCATGCCCGAAGAGGCGGCTGGTGTGTTGGTATGTCCACAGCTGAGATACACGAATTGTCCAAGAAATGAAAACTTGGCTGAGGGGCAAAGCTTGGAGGGTAATTGTGAAATTTTGAGGACAATCTCTGCTCAGTGAAGGACACTATCTGCTGACATACCAGCAAGCCAGAGGNATTTCCACTATTGCTCAAATAGTGCTTTACTGCGAAGGATCGTTCTTATATACGTCTCATAACCGCAGTTCACTCATATGTTTCATATGTTTGTTGTTGTTCGATTTATCATCTACGGGTTTATATCGAATTAATTTGATGGCCTGCTCCCAGTTGGCTTGTTAGCTCAATTGGTAGAGCGCTGCACTAGTATCGCAGAGGTCAGTGGTTCGAATCCCGTACAGGCCTGAAATTTTTTTCAGGTCTGATTTCCACTATTGCTCAAATAGTGCTTTACTGCGAAGGATCGTTCTTATATACGTCTCATAACCGCAGTTCACTCATATGTTTCATATGTTTGTTGTTGTTCGATTTATCATCTACGGGTTTATATCGAATTAATTTGATGGCCTGCTCCCAGTTGGCTTGTTAGCTCAATTGGTAGAGCGCTGCACTAGTATCGCAGAGGTCAGTGGTTCGAATCCCGTACAGGCCTGAAATTTTTTTCAGGTCTGATTTCCACTATTGCTCAAATAGTGCTTTACTGCGAAGGATCGTTCTTATATACGTCTCATAACCGCAGTTCACTCATATGTTTCATATGTTTGTTGTTGTTCGATTTATCATCTACGGGTTTATATCGAATTAATTTGATGGCCTGCTCCCAGTTGGCTTGTTAGCTCAATTGGTAGAGCGCTGCACTAGTATCGCAGAGGTCAGTGGTTCGAATCCCGTACAGGCCTGAAATTTTTTTCAGGTCTGATTTCCACTATTGCTCAAATAGTGCTTTACTGCGAAGGATCGTTCTTATATACGCATTACAGTTAGTTGTGTATTGCATTTCGACACTCCTGTCCGTATTGCCTTCATCAGGGGTGATCTGATCGTTGCTCACTAATTAAATGCCCTTTTTTTCTGACAAGGTGTAAATAGGCATCAATTAGTAAGCGGCCGTCAACATGATTTAAAGGAGTGTGGGGGAAGGGGGTGAGATAATTCTACAATTATCACCACTAATTGCTGCTACTACCAGTACCTTTGTTTGGAAGCTGGCATACCAACTTTGCCCGTGCTTCTTTAAATCGCAGTGATGGTGGCTTACTCCCTGATACCCATTTACACCTTGTCAGAACAAAGGGCAGCTAATTAGTGAGCATATAAAAGGGCCTCTTGTTGCAACGATCAGAGCACCCCTGATGAAGGCACTAGACAGGAGTGGTTCTGAGAATTTAGTGTTGAATCACGCAACAACATCCTAATTGATTCTCGTTACTTGTCTGCTTGATACTGCGTTGATATTGTAAAGAGAAAGTACTTTTTGATCACTTTTAAGAGTGAACAGGTTAATAAATTTTGAAATCTTCTGTGGTCTACAACTGCAAAGAAGCAGGGCAACACAGTGATTTACTTTTCTTGTACGATAAAAAGTAAAATTTTGGTAATGGTGATGTTCATTTGCGCATCTGTCGTCTAATAGATCACGGATAATAACCAATCAAAATGCATATAAAAAAATATTTTTCGGCTTATCATATCTTGAATATCATCATTTGTTTTAAGGGGCTGCAGTGCACTTGGCCTCACTCCTTGCAGCATATGGTTACATCTTCTCCATCACTGATCACCACTTGATGGTGAAAGATGATGCTTCTTATTATAGGTTTCAGGTGGGAATAAGCACATTCTGTAGTAATCAGAGGCTTTTTTATAAGATCATTTTTATAAATGAATGTTGTTTTTAGGTAATTTGGTTTGAGCAACGGAGGTGATTAATTTGTGAACTACTGTAGAGATTTTCCAGTGCTAATGTTGAGTGTTAGCCTTTCATTATTTGCTCTGATCAAGGGCTAATGTTTGAAAAGTCAGTGTTGGAAACTCCCAGTTTAAATTTGATTTATCAGCTCAGTTGATAAATTCAAAACTATCTTGCAATTTCCCCTCACCGACCCAGCACTATTTAACAAATGGTAAACACCACAGCGTACACTATTGAGTTATGGATGCACGCGGGAGGTTGCTAAGCACGAAAGAAGCGTAAGAGTCGCTCGAGGCGATAGCCGAGAGCGACTCTAGCTTCTTGAGTGCTTAGCAAACCTCCCAAGTGCATCCATAACTCAATAGTGTACGCTGTGGTGTTTACCATTTGTTTTATAACATAACATTGATACATTGTAGCTAAAGAGTTCCCTTTTATTTAACAAATCTTACGTGACCAGAAAAAACAAGCGCGCGCGGAAAAATAGTCTTTGCATTTGCTCACGTCAGCAGCGTACACCCATGGGCAAATGGGGGACGCTAAATTGACCAATCAGAGCGCGCGCTTTACTTTGGTTATGTTATAAAGTTTCTTTTAAAACTTACCCCCTTCACCTGTAATCAATTACTAGATACACTGTCGAAAGTTAAGTTCCATGGAAAGATGCCATTTCTCCTGTCTCAAATGTGGGAGAAAGAAAAAATAACATGTTCTCTGTGAGGAATTAAACACTAGACCCTTGGTTGTGATTGCATGCTCAAATGCTTACCTCTAAATTCCTGTTCTGATGTTACTTGTTTGGTATTTGTTGGGTTAGAAGAATTGCGCCTCACGTTTCATTTTTTTTTTCTTTTAGACACCATTCTTTTGGTTGTCTAACAACTGGGAACCTGAGAATGTAGATTATGGTAAGTTGATTACACTTTTTTTTTTTTTTTTAAGAAGTTATAAACCACTCTCAGGGCTTGACACTAATAGTAGCCCACTAGCCACAGACTAGTAGAATTCAGTTTTGGCTAGTGGTTTTCAGTTTCCACTTGCCAGTTTGGCTGGTAAACGAACTGAAATTGTCGTAGCATCTAAGATGTCACCAGCCACTTGGCTAGTAAGTTGAAAAGTTAGTGATGAGCCCTGCATTCTTACTGCCGAGATACTTTACTCTGTTTCACCTTTTAGCTCTTAAATGTGACTGGCTTCTTATTTCTCCCTACCTTATCATCCTATAGTCATTTATAAAGGTAATGAGAATAAGTGAAGTGTTCAACAATTCAAGCAGCTCTTGATTGGTAATCAAATTCTCCTTGTCAGTATTCATTCCTCTAACTGATTTTTAATTTTTTTTTTCTTTTCATAGCTGTGTATTTGTGTAAACGAACAATGCAGAATAAGTCCAGACTAGAATTAGATGATTACGAAGCAGTAAGTGCTCAAAATTTTGTTTTGTTCTTGACTGTGAAGAGAAATGTTTTATCATCTTCATTCACTGGAGCCAGAGTGAGCGGGCTTCTATCCTTCTATTGTAATTGACTATTAATTTTTTGACAAACTACTTCCCTCTTAATACATTTTATTTGTAAAGCTTTCATAAATGTAGTTGAATAATGAAATAAATAAATAAATGAATAATAGACTAACAAAAAAGTGTTCGTAGGAAAACCTAGCGAAGCTACAAAGAACATTGTCGCGGAAATGGGAATTTATATTTATGCAAGCGGAGGCACAAGCAAAGTGAGTCGTTTTATCGATGTATTTGTTTTCTAAAAAATGGTCCAGTTGCGTATTGCAACTATTGCACAACCAGCATCAAAAGAGGATGCTGATTGGCTCAAATATCCATGGAGCAATTTTCAAGTAAGTGTAGAAAATAATCCAGAATTGATTTTTGTCGAAAATTTCTACGCTCTCTGATTGGTTCAGAAAACTCATCAACCAATCAGATTCAAAACTAAACCCAATCATGTCTTGGTCATCCCCATCTTCACGTGCTTCGGGTGGTTAACTTGTTTATAGTTTGAGTTCTGATTGGGTCCTTGTGATAGGTCCCTTAATTCTGATTGGCTATTAAGAGAGTGACCATACCATTACAATTCCTCAAATGTGATTGGTGCATTAGCTGCCCTATTTCTTACTAATTATTCTGTGGAGTGTGGTAATGGGACAGTTTAGTCGGACAGCTGGCTAAAATCGGACACCTGTAATCGGACAGTTAAGGCAACCAATCATACAAAGTTTACTCAGCTAAATCCACCAATCACAGAATTGATTACAATAACCATAGCAGTAACCACCTATTGTAAAAAAAAAAAAAAAAAGGGAATTTCCAGAATGGAGGATTTTTTCACTTTAGACATTGTTCTTTACTGGAGATAATTTCCCTCAATGCATTTGGTTTTTTTTTCCCCTGAAATTTCAATAGTTTTGATTAATTGGTAACAGGAATTCGTGTCGTCCAATTCGGTCTGTAATCATTCTCGCGGTAGTCGGACTTTTTTAATCACTGATATGATTACAGACCGAATTCGACTACACGAATTCCTGTTACCAATTAATCAAAACAATTGAAATTTCAGAGAAAAAAAAAACAAATGCATTGAGGGAAATTAATTGCTGTTTATTACAGCGCCCGTGGGCAAGATGAAGCGAATCCTGTTTTCTGGACCTCGACTTCGTCTCGGTCCATAAAAATGCAAAGAAATAAAAGAACTCGGCCAATATCCAGCCATGTTGACCTCACACTTGGTTGATAACGCATATGTATTGCTGATTGCAGGGTTGATAAGAAGAGAGATAAAATGGAAAGACAAATATTGGATAGCCAGGAGAGAGCTTTTTGGAATGTTCATAGACCGCCAGTAAGAATACAATTAGTATTGTAACCGTAGTCATCGGTATAAATTCATTCATTTGTAGCTACATTCGAGTTGAATTAGAGGGATTAGGGCAGTTTTAAAAAACTTTATGTAATACGATATTTAGCAAGGCTGTGCTCTAAGAAAAATTGAAGGGAGCATATACTTTTTTAGGAAAAAA